CCGTTCCCCGGCGGGGATGGGGAATTATTCCCCATCCCCGTCCCCGCGGGGATTTTTCGGGGACGGGGAATCCCCGCCCCGTTTTGATTCATGCTTACTTTTTTTTTTTTTTTTTTAAAAACACACATAATATAATATGCATTCTTAACAAAACTAGAGAAACACAGTTTTGTTAAGGAAAAATCTTAAATCGCAAAGATGAAAAAAAAAATCATCTACTAATACCATGAGAATATGCAGAGATAGAGAATGAAGAATATAATACATTGATGTTCAATAATAATTTAAACAAATAAACATAGCCTATTTATACAAGATATATGTACGGTATTACGGTAACAATGAACATAAAATGTATGTACCTAAACTAGAATACTAATTACATGGAAATTCAAGAATATGATTAAATATATACAAGAGAGATATTAATTTATATATAATATTAATATTATTAGTCAGGGATTCGGGGACGGGGCGGGGATCGGGGATCGGGGTCGGGGCCGGGGCGGGGAATGCCCTCCCCGTCCCCGTCCCCGTCCCCGGCGGGGATTGGAAAATTCCCCCCATCCCCACCCCCGTTCCCCGAAATAAATCCCCGAACCCATCCCCGTCGGGGCGAGGAACGGTTTTCCCCATCGGGGACGGGTTCAATTGCCATCCCTACTACAAATCCAACAAGTTACCAATTCTCAAAACCATTCAATATTCAGTGTACCCATAAATTTGCCTCCCTATAAATATGTCTTATTATGTGTATTTTCAACTTATCCGAATTAAGTATCCTTCTAATATGAAAAGTAGGATCCTTGTTCTATATATATATATATATATATATATATATATATATATATATATATATATATATATATATATACGGTGCGGTTATTTTTTACGGTGCGGCAACACCAATAGTTCACCAAATATGCACCATCAACGTTAGGAAATACACCACACAAAACAGAGTAAACAGAGCCCTGCATCACCAAACACACACCATTAGGTGTGAGTAAAAACACCATACACTGTTCGGAAATACACCCTTGGGGGTGGTGAGTTATATAGTGTGTTTTTTTGAGTCTGTGGTGTATTTTGTGATGTTTTATTACATTTCATTGGGGTGTGTTTTTATTACACTGTTGGTGCATATTGTTAACACTGTTAGTGTATTCTGGAATTTGACCGCACCGCCGCACTGTAAGACCCCGCCGCATATGAGCGCTCTTATATATATATATATATATATATATATATATATATATATATATATATATATATATATATATATATATATATATATTTATATTTATATTTATATTAACTATTATTATTTTATTGTATCTATTTATACTACTACTAATAAAAACAAAATCTTATTTTTGCAACTTTCGGCTCAAATTACCTCCCAATAAAAAATTAAGGCAATTAATTCTAATATAATGACATCCAAAGTACTAATATGAAAAAATATAGAGTGAATTTCATTTTTGATCCTATTGTTATAGGGGCTTTTCCAATTTTAGTCCACCATAATTATTTTTGTCACATTGCGTCCACTATTATTAAAAGTGTTCCAATTTTAGTCCATTTTAAAAATTTTCGTGGACTAAAATTGGAACACTTTTAATAATAGTGGACGCAATGTGGCAAAATAATTATGATGGACTAAAATTGGAATGACCCCTATAACAGTAGGACCAAAAATGGAGTTCACTCAAAAATATATATATAATAATCGAAACAAAAATCTAAAATTATTAATCCAAACTTAAAAATTAGATTATGGAATGATACCCGTTTTTAATTAAGCAATGAGAGTTTTTAATTGAAGGGGTAATCAAATCTTATAGTTGTGTTTTAAAAACTTATCAACCAAACATTAACTATGATTCACATTCCTAGTGTGTAAACCCATAAACCAAACACACACAGGAATTAGATGTGGTTATGTATCAATACTTATGGTTTGTAACTCCCATCATCCAAAAGGCAAATTATGTTGTGGAAACGTGCCCACCTTGCAAAGTGGGTACAGTTCCACAATGGCGTCGTTTTCAATGAAAACGATGCCGTTTTAATTTTTTTAAAAAAAGTTTTTGCTTTTCACTTGCCGTTAACGGCGTTTCTCTCTTCGCAATCGCACAGTTTAGAAATTATGAATCTACTATATTTAAATTATGAATCTACAGTATAGAAATTATGAATCTACAGTATTAGATTTGTGAACATGTGATAGAGCTATATGTTCATAATTTTATAAATATATGTTCATAATTATAGAGCTATATATGTTCATAATTTTCGATGTTCATATTCCCAATTGTTGAGCTCTGTATTTACAAATCACAGAAATATATGTTCATAATTTGATAACTATACAGTTTAAAAATTATGAATCTACAATACATATATTATGAATCTGCAGTATAGAAATTATGAATCTACTGTATTGAAATTATGAATCTATTGTTTAGATGTTATGAATCTACAATATAGATGTTATGAATCTACAATATAAAAATTATGAATCTACAGTATAGAAATTATGGAGGATAACGGTGCCACTAACGGCACCGTTACTCAACCACATGAAAACGGTGTCGTTTGAAACCGTGCCAACCTTACCAGGTGGGCACTGTTCCACAGCATAATCATCCCATCCAAAAATGATAATTTAATATTATTAAGTAAAATTTATATACTTCAAAATACAAACAGAATAAGATAGAAAAAGTATTATATTAGGAATATATCTCTGGTGTATTAGTAGAGAAAATTTTGCAAATAGTAAAGACATATAGGTGCTGAAATGTTAAATGCTCCTAAACAACATAAAATAGCACAAATTGTTTAGGAAATTGTTATTATTTATATGTCAAATATTATATACTCAAAAAAAAAAATATTTCAATCATTATACTGTGAAGTATTATCCATATTATACGGTAGACCACTAACATGTAAATTCATTTTTAATATATTGAAGGTTCATTTTTAATATATTATATGTCTATTTTTTGAAAGTTTATTTTTAATATCATGCATGTTTATTTTTAATATATTACCTAATCAAAAACATTCAGTACATTAAAAACATTCAATATACTAAAGATTAACATTTATCTATAATTCACCTTGCAATATAAACCATCAACAAGTGTCCATAGTATAATTGTTGATATATAGTAATAAAATATGAAATTTTAAATGAAATTACTCTTCAAAAATAATAATAATAATAATAAGTGCTTGTATTATAAAATGCCCATATCCAAAAATACTTAGTGTCACAAGGGGGTGGAGGGGGTGGTGATTTGGTGATAATTTACTTTGGTTTTCGTGGATAGGGGTTACAAATCTAGAGATGGGGTGAATAGACTTATACAAATTTTTGAAAAATTAGTAACAATTCGGATGAAGAAGTTCCAGAGTGTTACTTCTTTACTACTTCAACGATTCGAGAATTTACGCAGCAAAAATTAATTATACCCTTGTTAGATTGTTTGCAAGTAGTTTGTTCTTGTAAAATTAAGTATATGTGAATTTGGACCAACTAAGAGCTTGGCTTGGTGAATCTGGATATGAGCTTTCTTTGTAGTACAAGTCTCTTCAAACTGGATATGAACTTTTAGCAAGCTTTCTCTCTCACTAGTCTTGCTTGATTACTTGCTTTTTCACACTTTGAACACTTAGTAAATTTTGAATAGACCAGCACCTTCTTCAGTCTTGAATGAAGGTATTTATAGACTTGTCAGACTTTCTAGCTGTTAACGACTTATTTTACGTTAAACATAACTTTTTGTTCTGCACAAAATGTCTAGGCTTTTTAAGGAAAATCCTTCTTGGGATATGAACATATGACTCTCTTTGTATTTGGCCACATTTGCTAGTGTATTTAAAGTTTAATTGTCACTATTCGAGTTCGAATCTTAACATCCTCTCAGATACGAATGGTTGACCTTACCATTCGTTCTACCTTTTACTTCAAAAGGTAGGGTCATTCGGCCTTTGCAACCTTTCAATCTTGTAGTTTTCTACCCTACGAATCTTTATCTCGAACTCTTCAAGTCTTCAACTCTTCAATGTCTTCATCTTCAAGCTATTCAAAAGGTAACCATTCAAGTTACTATTCGAACATTTGTTAAGACTATCCAAAATGTAACCTTTCAAGTTATCATTCGGATTGTTTTGTCTTATTCAAAACGTGATTTCTCAGATTACAATTTGGACTATTCGAATTTGAGCAAAAATAACCTAAATCTAATAGATAAAATAAATAAGGAACTAAAATTCTTAACTTTTGGTATTATCAAAATCTAAATCTAAATTATAAATATTCCTAACATCAAAATAGGAAGAAAGATCACATAATTATAAGGCTATCTTTATCCCTGCAAATCTCTCACTTTTAAAAATGGGTCACACTTCCACATCATCAAATTTGTAATTTCTTTCACGGTTTGTTTTACATCCCTGCAAACCTCTTTGACTTGATTTTTTTTTTTCTAAGGTCATCCCCATTTATAATTTTTACTTGATTTTTTATGGGTCCTTTTATGTGCAGAAAAGAGAAGTTAAGAGAGAAATTTAGATATGCTGAAGTTGTTAGTGGACTCACCAAGAGAGAGAAACAATTGCAAATTACATGCGTTTCGCAGGGGATTGTGCAAAAAACCAACTAATGCAGAAACTCCTAAGAAAACAAATTTCCACGTGCATTAAAACAAAAAACAAAAAAAAAAAAAAAAAAAAAAGATTATTTTAACTTTCATGTCACTTAATACCAAACTTGGTCCAATTTACAACTTCTACAAGATATGAGATAAGTACAAAACCCAATCAATAAGAAGTGCAGTTAGTAAACCATTCTCTCCCCAGATTATTCAGCTCAATGTACCTCACAGATATTTTAAAGGAACAAGTCAAAATTAGTAGATGTTTTAAAATTCTCTTGCCATCACACTGGAGAAACAACAATCCCATAATAGATCACATTACCAGTTCAATTTGAAGGATTTCAACCACTGTTTACCAAAGCTGAGTAATCTGAAAACACTTGAGTATATAAAACCAAAAAAAAAAAAAAAAGTAGCACAAAAATTTAAGCCTTCCATGGCAAGTACATAGAGAGAAACTTTGACTGAGTTTTGCATAGTCTAAATACCAAGCATTCTTCTAATACTTTAACAATACTACAAAAAGAAACAAGTTTACATCCCAGTGAAAGCCTTTTTCCCTCCACCTGACCCTGCAGGAATAACCTTCAACACGTTGAACCTCACTGTTTTGGACAGCGGCCTGTTAAAACACAAAAATAAATATATCAAATTTATATACTAATGCAGAAGACAATGGTATTGGGAATTAATAAGCTCTGATCTTCACCTGCACTGGCCAATGATAACATAATCTCCCTCTTTCACTCGGAAGCATGGAGAAATGTGAGCGGCAATGTTTGAGTGTCGCTTCTCATATCTGAAAATAACACATTATCGAACTCTTTTTCTAAATAAAGAGAGTGCAACTATTTAAACAACAGAAAGTGACAAGCCTTGTACCTCTGATACTTCTTGACAAAATGCAGGTAGTTGCGGCGAACAATGATAGTTCTTGTCATCTTTGCACTGTGGCATGTCCCAGCAAGGATTCTACCTCTAATAGAAACAGTGCCGGTGAATGGACACTTCTTATCAATATAGGCCCCTATAACCAGATAGACAAAAGCTCTTAAAGAATAGAACTAAAAGCATATGACTAGTAAAAAGTTTGGACCATAGAATTGAGTAAAAATTCACATTACATGCTTGAAAAAGAACAAGGGGCAAAATATGCAATTTCAATGAATTATATAGACGATCTGCTGGGCAGAAAGTATTATTTCTAATGAGCAGAAAGTAATTTAAATCCAAAAGTTAAGCAAACGATAGACTTCTATATTTTAGATGCACCACAATGACAAACCATTACTAAAACTATAAATTTTATGCCAGAGATAATCAAATAATTGCAATTACATATTTACTATCCCAGATACTAAACAAATGATTGCCACTTTAATTACAAGCTAAATTTAACAAATATTCTTGAAACTACATTGGTTTAGCACAAGTTACCATTGTAATTTCACAATTCTGAAAAAATATATATTGTTGACTAAGTACATGGAGCATAAAACATGAACACAAGACACCATAGAGAAAAATAATATTATGTATATTTTTGGATCAGAGTCAGAATTTCAGAAAATATTACAAACCAGAAATGAAAAGTATCACAACTTCTCAACCTAACTTCAATGTCAACTGAAACTAACCTTCAATAGCCTCGCGTGGAGTCTTGAACCCTAGCATTCTATGGATATTTAGTTCATTCATTATGGATTTTAGTTCATTGATTCTGGATATATAGTTCAAATTATGCACAACATAATGCTGTTGAGGGGAATCGAAACTGATTTTTTTTTTTAAGTGGACGCGCGTTTTTAGTCAAAACGACGTCGTTTTTGCATCGGTGTGCACCATTCATGGTGCACACGGATGCACAACATAACGATTGCATATATTCTTGATTGACCAAAACCAAGTCAAACCCGCTAATTAAGCAACCCAATTAATTCAAACGGCTTGGTCCAACTCAATTAAATAATTAAACCAATTAATTATTCAATGAGCCATTTAATTAACCCAATTAAATAAATATTAGTCCAATTAGCTCAACTAAAATAATTAATTATCAATCAATGCCGAACATCATACAAATCAGCCCATTTAAATTTTTAATGCAAATACACAGAAATCTGAGTTAAGGAATGGCAAAATTCACAAGTATAATATTTAGGCCCTGTTTGGTAAAATGACTGTTAGCTGATAGTTGTTTGCTGTTAGCCGATTGTGTTAATTAGAGAGTATAAATTAGATGATTGTAGAAAAGTATTTGGTAAATTAGCTGTTAGCTGATAGTTGTTTAGTATAATTTTTTTCTCAAAAAGCTAATTGAAAAAGTTGCTTGGATCGGAGTAGCTTTTTAAATTTTAGCCTTTTGGAGTTGCAAAAAGCTAATTAACCAAACATTTCAATTGATATTTTAACTAAATCAAACAATTAATAGTGATCAAATAAATCAAAATTGACTTATAGGCCAATTTTTTACCAAACAGGACGTTAATAATTAGATACATACATTATTTAGAGAAATACTGCACATTAAACGCACGTTAATAATACTGCTCGCTCTATATATATATATATATATATATATACTGATTGGATCTTTGGTTTTACTTTTTTGCTGACAAATTAAATTTAAGAGTTGAAGATGGATAAAAATGGGAGTGAACCGAGTGATGAGAAAAAGATTATTTCTGATGCCATAGAGATCAAGATTAAGACAATGTTCTGCCGCCAAACACCAACATTGCGAATAGATAAACGTGTAAGTTACTCCTTCTCGATCTTGCATTCATTATATGATTAGTTAATTTAATTACTTATTTCGATATGATATGATAGCAGATTGGAGTTGGTGCGTTGAAGGAAGAAGTTACATTGGTTACTGGTGTTTTGGCAGAGAATCAACGCCTTATCTTCCGTGGAAAAGCTTTGAGAGATGATAAACTTTTGTCAGATTATCGTATCCATATATGCATACCAATTCCAATTTACAAGAATTGAATATCTTTATATATAATAGATGCATGTGCTCCCTAACATATATAATATATATAGATGTGGAAGATGGTGACACTGTGCATCTCATTGTGATTACTGTCCCTACACCTACTACTATAACTCAGGTAATACGTTATATATAGATTATTTGTTACTCAAATTAAAGATAGTAAGAGGAGAATATAATATAGTATTTAGTTTGATGGTATGGGTGCAGATGGTCTCTGCTTTAGTCCTGTCTTTAGGAAATGACTGGGCACCAGTACCACATTCTCCTTCTGCTGCACAAGTTGGTCCTTCTGCTGCACAAGTTGGAAATACAGGCTCATCATCATCATCATCATCATCATCAACATCATCATCATCATCATCATCATCCATGGACCAACCTTATGTTAGTTTGGGAAATTCTGCTCAACTGCCAATGCCAATGCCAAATGCTACAGCTGCTGATCCTGCTCCTCCTGCTCCTGGTATATATATATATTCTTCATTTACTTCTTCTTCTTTTGGTCTAATATAATATATTTTGTTTCAGGTAATAGCATTGAAGAAACAAATGATGCTGCTGCTGCTGAGGATACAAGCGAAGATGATGGAGGATCACCAGATGTAGTATAATTCTCAGAATTTAGTAATAACTAAGAATTGTCACAAATATAGTATACACACTATGTGCATTGTTAGTGTTATTCATAAACCCCTCCCCAAATCTCTTCAATCATAATACTTTTCCAGTATCCCCATCCTTGTCATTGGATTTCGATCTCTATGTTTCCAATTTTTAAATGACTTAATTCCATTCTTTGTCTTAAATTTATAGGTGTCAATTCATGACTTTTACTCATTTTTTAAAACATTTAATTTCCATTTGGTCACGGTAGATGCGTAAGTCTTTGTCCACTATTCGTTCTCCCTAGAACATATATAAGTAAATGAAAAAGCGTGAGGATAATTCTAAACTCAAGATAAAGTCATACCAAGTCACGAACACTTTACCCATATCTTTGTTTCTGTGGCCCCCATGCACCACAATCAATTACTTCATTTGTCTCATTTTAACTATCCTACTTATTATTCATTGATCAAACTAACACTTTCTTCTTTGTTTATTTTCTTTAATATTTTTACTTATTTTTAAATTTGATTTGTTGTGTTTAATAGTATTTTTAGTGTAGTTTCTAAATATATAAATTTTGGTATACTAATACTAAACTTAATATTATAAAAAATTAGATTAAAAATTACTTCAGTCAAACCTAGTTAACCAAACCAAACACATAAAATGGGAGGAGGGAATATAATTTTATCAAGTTTTTGCATGGGTGATATGATGGAACCCCCGCGAATTTACAACAAAGGGCTCATGAGATGATTTTTTGGCATTTGATGAACGAGTGTGGAGATTTTCGATCCTCTTCTCCTCAAACGAGGAATCTAAACTCCACAGGTTCGCAAAGTGCTGCCTTGGAGGAATATATAGGAAATAATTTTGATAATATCAATTATTTATCATTTATATATCATAACCTTGCCTTATACAAAAATGTAGTCTAAACTAAGGAATTCTCATCGCGTCTTTAGACCTATACTCACGTTTCACGCACAACGACTTTTTAAACAACTATATGAATAGAATCTGTAGCACTAGTTTAAACTAAAAGCCGTTACTTGTTTTGATTTTTTATAATTTAAAAGGTCTCGTCTTTCCACAATAAATGGCAGAGGAATTGGTAGGCTCCTTTCTTCATTCGGATAAAGATGGCACTGCATCGTTTAACGTGGAAGTTCGGGGCCACGGCACCTCCTTCTCTACAATCCCCCGAATTAGATGTGGGGTCAATGGGAGGACCTTATCAACCATAGGAATGCTCGATCGACTCTCAATTGCTTGTGAAAGATAGCTATTGCTTTGCTTTGATGCTTTCTTCGGTTGATTCAATTATTGTGGCATGGTCATTTTTGGCCCTCTATCAACAAATTAAAACAATTTAAATTCCATTAAATACAAAGGTATTCTGGTCTTCAATTATTTATATATATATAAATATATATATATATATATATATATATATATATATATATATATATATATATATATATATATATATATAGTGAGTCAACCCACTTTGGCACTTTGTATATTAAAAAAAAAAAAGATCAAAATGCATTTGTATTTAACGGTAATTTAACGATTTTGTTGATAGAGAACCAAAAGTGATCATACCACAATAATATATACTAGGACCAAATGATGATGTTCTAATAAAATCCTATATATAATAAAGCCATATGGTCTTGTGAAAATTAAATGTTGATAATCAACATTTAATTTTCACAAGACCAACATTCAAAAAAAAAAAAATTTCACAAGACCATAAGGGCATCCCCAATAGGGGATCTTATCTAACTTTTGGAACAATAAAAGCTTCAAGGTTGAATTTTTAACTAATGTAGAGTGCTGGTTTTTTGGGTTTCAATCTCCTGCAAATATGTGGGTTTTGTCAGGTTTGTCAGGCATTGACGCCAGTCGCCAGCTTGCACAGCCCGCTTCATATAGCTTTGTTATTACGGAGTACTCTTTTTTTTTTTCTTAATCTTTTGGCCGCCACAAATTTTTTTTTATATAAAATTATTTTTGTTTATATAATATGTTGTAGCTATATAGTATATAATTTTAAATATTATATTTATTAGTAATTTAATTTTATAATTATCATTTCAACTAAATGTAGACACATTAAGACATTTATAATTATAAAATTATTTAAATTTTGATATGTTCAATTTAAATAAATATAATAAAAATAATAATTATAAATTTTTTTATAATGATAATAAATAAAAAATAATTAAAATATGTAGATAAAATTGTGGGTCCACAAAAAGTTATGAAAAAACTTAAAACTAATGGGAAGAAGAGATTTTGTAATTGAGTGAGATAGTGAATGATGAGGTGGATGTTGGGGCCCACAAAAATCTGGGAAAAAATTCCAAACTATTGAGGATGCCCTAATAATATTGTTCATTATAATAACAATAATAATAATAATAATTGCAATAATAATAATGATAATAATAATTTCCACTTACAGTTTCTAATATATATATATATATATATATTTATTTATTTATTTATTTATTTATTTATTTATTTATTTATATTTCAATTTCTACTGGCAAATTATTGTGTGAACGATGGTCCACATAATTGTATGGATCATGAATATCAAATACATTTTTAATATATTAAGAATACATTATTTTTATATTGATAGTACCTTACATACATATATAATGTACCCTTAGTATATTTAAAATATACTTTTTATTGCATGCAACCCCAAAGTTCATAAGTTTGAAATTAATATATGGCATAGCTAGGCGGCCTAATATTTAAGATTGTCGATGTGCATATTGAGGACTACGGAGACAAAGATGCATTATTCGTGGATTCATCGGATACTATCCAACAACACTCTCCAACTTAATTGACGTGAAGTAGGCTTAGTAACATTAAGATTATATTCTCGAATTATTAGTTCTCATCTTTTATTGATTACACACTTAATTCGATAGTATTTGGAAAAAGAAATCAATGTTCGAACTAAGATTGTGATTTTGGTCTTTAAAGGTCAATTGTATGTTGCTACATCTAGAGTTAGAAATCTCAAAGGTCTAAAAGTTTTGATCCGTGGTGACTCTAA